TTTGGGATTTGGGATTTGGGATTTCGGCATTTGGGATTTCGGCATTTGGATTTTGAATTTGGGTGGCAGGTATAACAATATATTTGTTCTAAATGTTTTAAACAACAAGGTGGTCATTTGTACAAAAGACCAGGTAGAGATAGAACAGTTTTGTCATGTACTGAACAGGAAAAACATAATAATGACACAAGTGACTTTCTAAAATATATTGGAAAATAGATTATGTCAATTGCAGAGTCAGATAATTAGGAGTTGTAAAAAAAACTTCTTTCATTAATAACTCCTGCACTAACTATTTTAAACAATAAAACAATAAATAAAAACTTATCAGAAATGAAGATAAAAAATTGTCAAGCAAATTACTTGTTCTAATCACGTTGAGAGTGGAAAAAGTTGAATTAAATGTATTAACAAAAGAAAAATTAAAAATTGAAACTTTTGAAGAAACTTTGGTAATGGGAAAAAAATTGGAAAACAATATTTTATTTTCATATTTTAAAATTCAAGAAAATATCAACCAGTTAGAAAACCCGAGTTCAAATAGGAAGCTATTTTAATGCATTATTTGAAACTGTTTTTCACTTTTTTCAAGCCCTAATCACAGTTCTTCAACAACGGAAACAAAAAATAATTAATAAAAAAAAGCATCAACATGGACTTCTCCCAAAATCTCTTGATGAAATTCAAATAAAAAGGATTACTACCTTATTAACTTCCATGTTATTAACTATTGTTTTTCCTAGAACAAAATTTTGGCTTTCAATATCATATCATCAATATGTCAAAATCCAAAATCATTATCATATTTATGTGAGATCCTGTATTTAACACGCATTATATCTTACACTAAACAGTATGAAAATTGTCTTGAAAAATTTAGGATATATAATACTAATTTCCAAGAAAATCTAATTAAGGAATCAAATATTTGGAACCTTGCTGTGATCAATAATATTACCTTTAAGGTTTCTACATTCACAAGGAACAATATTTATGATGTTGTGAGATGAACTTTACATGCAACTCTTCAAATAGTTTTTCAGTTTGTTTTATCTACTTCTCTTGATAATTTTATTGAAGATAATGGATTCACTTTTGAACCACTGTTCAGAGAATCTTTATTTACTGATAATCTTTTAATAATGTATGAAAATACCTTAAATACAATGTTAGAAAATAATGTAAATAAGTTTGATATAGAGGATGTACATTCAAAAATTACCGAACAAATATCTACAGGTTGTAATACTTTACTATCAAAAGTTGTAATATTGGAGCCTTGTGATCCACCCAATTGTAATAATAACGTTTATACAGCCTGTAAAATGTACTGCAATAATCTATCAATTAGTAACAATGAAAACCTATACGTTGCATGTGATCAAGTAATTTTCGGATGATTAATCTCCTATAAAGAAACTCACACACATCAGGAAATTTAATTAGGCGTCGATTTACGGAAATATCACATGACCTCCGGAAATTTCCACTTGAAAAATTTGATTTTTAACTTTGGCCGAGATTTAGGTGACAGGGAGCGATTTTCTACTAAGATGTTTCTAAGATAGATCGAAAGCCCT